GCTTCCCTGCGGTCTGCATCCACCCAAGATCCCGTGGGAAATAAAGGGCCAGTGAACCGAAAGACTAAGCTAAGGGTTGTAACTTCTCATCACTCCTGGGAGGGCATGGCTGATGCTGAGAGCAAAGAAGAAAGTAGAGTATCAGTGTGACATTCTGTCAGTTTTCAAAGATTTCTGATCTTTCCTCACCCCTTGGGAAGAGGGAGGGCGTGTTTTGCCCGGGCCCCAGCAGAGGCAGCAGTGATTGCGTGTTGCTCAAGGAGAGTCCTTCCGTCATTCAGGAAGCACGTTCGCCGTCTCTACGTACTTGGCATTGTGCCGATGCGTGGGAAGCAGAGATTCTAGTTGCTCTCATAAAAAAGATCCTTTTCCTGATGATGGAGGGCTTCATTTTATAGAGAGCATACAGGGAGAGAGTGCCTTTTGAGGTACCTGCTGTGAACAGTCCCATAGCTAGGCACATTATTTACACTGTCACATTAAATATTTGGAAAGTAAAGAGAAATCATGCAACTTCCCAAAATTCTTTCCCCCTCTATGTCATAAATTTTGTTTCAACTGTTGTCTAAATCGTTACTTTGAGAAATCGATTTCATTTGCCCATATTCCTCCTGGTGATGAAAAGTTACTGCTCTTTCTTTTTTTTTCCTCCACAGCCTGGAATATCTCCTCTCCCTTTTTATGTGAACTTCTTTTTTTATTTCTTTTTTTTCTTTTTTAATTATTTTATTGTTGTTCAATTACAGTTGTCTGCATTTACCTCCCACCACTCCCCCCCAACTCCAACCAAACGCCCCTCCCTCCCTTGCTTCCACCCTCCCCCTTGGTTTTGTCCACGTGTCCTTTATCCTAGTTCCTGAAAACCCTTCTCCCCACTGTCCCCCCCCTGCTCCCCTCTGGTTACTGTCAGCTTGTTCTTAATTCTAATGTCTCTGGTTATATTTTTCTTGCTTTTTTCTTTTATTGATTAGGTTCCCGTTAAAGGTGAGATATTTGTCACATGGTATTTGTCCCTCACTGCCTGGCTTATTTCACTTAGCATAATGCTCTCCAGTAATTATTGTTACTCTATTACAGATGTCCCAATTTCTCCCCTTTGCCCTCCTCCACCCAGCCTATCCCCACTCCCACAGTCCATCCCCAAAATGTTTTAGTTTTACTGATCTTTACACAATTTATAGTCTAGAGAAGATAAATGACAAAGAAACAGCTGAATAGACAAATGTTGTGTGTTTATCATGAAAAATGAGACTCTTTACAAGGTTGGCAATAAAGTATCTCAAATGAAGTTGCAACTTCTATGTACCTGTAAGTCTATATTCCTGTCTCTACATCTACCTGTTATCTATCTATATGGTAGACCACATGCTACTAATTGAAAAGTAAAATTGGGGAGAATTGGGTTCATTGTTAATTTTGAATTCAACCTTGAGGACAACCATTAACATGTCCACACCTTAGGTTTTCTAGGCTGTAGTTGGGAAGCTACCAACTTCCTAAATCCAGAAAGTGGCATTGTCCTTAACCTAGAATATGAAATCCACTAAGCAGACAGAATTCCAGGAAACATGAAACAATTATTAGTTTAATATTGTACCTGACTATATATAATTTAACTATGCATTTTGAGACAATGCAAATCGATGTATTTGAGGCAACCCATCTGACTACTTAACCTGAAATGTATGTCCTACTTGCCATTTTAAATATGTGTGTAATTTATTAATTCTCCTGCACTGGTATTTTTCATTGAAAATTATTGCCATGAAACAGCCCACTGAGAAGAGATTTTTGTGGTTCTCACCTGTAGAGTTACAATGTACATTCACATACTGAGGGTCCCAAGGACCCCTGCTCTCAATGCACCCACTTGATCTTACATAACCGAGTGCTATCACCACACATATTTTATGTTGTTGTTTAAAGCTATTTACTTTTCCAGAAACACCTTCAATACAATGTGCAAACTGTGTGTGTTGGGGGGTCAAAGTGGTTGTGGCACCTAGAAGTGCTTTCCAGGACTGGCTGCCCACCCACGAGGCCAGACCTGCTGCTGCAGAGGGTCTGCACGCATTAGGATGGGGCATTTTTAGTGTACGTGTAGCGCAAGTGTATTTCCTCAAGTCTGTTTCATTTACACACGTGTACTTATTACACCGTTGTAATTCTTGGGATGATCATGATTATGTCTGAATGACATGCCATATGTACTTCTGTACATTTGGTTTACATGTACACAGGTGCATACGTGCAAGTTCAGGCTACCTATGCAATATACATGCAGGGTCCGGCAGAAGGAAGGCCTGCTTGAGTGTGTTCAGTAGGGTCATAATATGGGTGTAATAATTTATAGTTTTAATTTGAACACTTCCCCTAAAATGTCACATGGTGTGCTTGAGTGTGATATTGATATGTTACAGAATTACATGCTTATGATTTTGTAATAAAAAGGGGTGTTATTTGTGCCAGACCCTGTATAGACCATATATATACATTATATATGATATTATATATAATATCAGTAGGTAATGAGGCAACTATTGGCTCCAGAAATTTAAAAAATTTTTACAATTACCTATATCTCATAGTTTTGAGAGTATGGCAAATGTGAATGATTTCCCTTCTGTTTGAATTAAAAATATCTAAACCGCAAACACTAAAGATGCACTAACAAGTATTATGCGTTATAGCTATCGACTGGCTCATCATGTAATCCTTTCTTCCCTGAATGACACTGACAAAACAGTCGGTGACTGAACATGAAATTAGCCCTTGTGCCATAGGCTAAGAAGAGGGAGTGCAGACACAATGAAAGCACTTTCCCCGATGACTTCAACACACGCACAGCAGACACACAACCATCCTCACATGTATGGAATGACTTTTGAGGCCTATCATTGCAGTACGTGTTGTGATGATGATGTAAACAGCCACTGTTCGCACGGCCTGACTTAGCCTGACTGGCCTTTTCCTTAAATTGTTCACTCCTCTGTGCATCAACAATAAGAACTTTTGAGTGGAAGGAAGAAAATTGCTTTAATTTTTTAATTGAAATTACCTCTTACGTACTATATTTTTATTGTATTTGATTGATAATGCTATTCCAGTTGTCTCAATTTTCCCCTTACTCCCCCTTCCACCCAACACCCCCCACTCCCTCAGGCAAACCACATGCCATCATTCATGTCCATGGCTCTTGCGTACAAGTTCTTTGGCTACTCCATTTCCTACACAGTACTTTACATCCCCATGGCTATTCCATGACTACCTGTTTGTACTTTTCTTCTTTTCATTTTTTAAATCATTTTAAAATTAATGTTCGAATACAGTTGTTTCCATTTTTCCACCCCCACCACTTTCCTCCACCCCATCCACCGCCGCCTTCCACCCTCAATCCTACCCTGTTTGGCTTTGTCCATGGGTCCTTGATACGTGTTCTTTGATCACCCTTTCCCTTCTAGGTATTATATTTAATAAAGCTTCTTTCTTTGGTCTAAAGCCTCCCCCTGAAAATTTATATGAACAATTATTATTACTATAGAAGACAGGAGTCTAAATGTGCATTCCTATTTTGAAAGGCTGCACTAACATTGACACAGGAAAGTAATGAAAGGGTTCTTTGGAGGGACTTGACCTCTTTGGGCACACTTACTATATACTCTGTGTGGTGTGTTCCATCTCCTGGTACCCCAGATTCCCACCATTTGGCATATTTCCACAGATGCCAGTTCTTTCCCTAGAGACAGCATGTGGGGTACTAGTCCATTTAACCAGCTTCCCCTCCTCGATTCAGCAGACATGGAGCATCATCCTTACTGTGGTTTTCATTTAATTTTCCTACATTATTGGGAAAAAATGAGTTGTGCTGCTAGCAAGGTGGTAGGCTGACATGATGCCCCCATGTTAGTTTCTTGTCTTCCTATGTGATGAGGCAGCTGGCCTAACGTGCCTGTCAGTGGATGGGGCTGCAAAGAGCAAGAGAAACTCAGAAAGACCCTGCATTGCTGGGAGGAACCAGAAAGTCATTCTGACTTATAAACTGAACAGGCATGACACCGAGGTCATAGAAAAAGGACATATATGCATCCTCAAGACCTTGTTTGGACAAAGTGACTTTTTTCTCCCAAAGGACATTTCAGCATTTTCTTTCACCATTCGTTCTGTCAGCCTATTCCTCTCAGCAAAGCAGGAGGTCAGCTCATGCCCAGAAAGAAATGCCTCAGGGTTCATCTCGATTCTTTTTGGCTTCCACCGAAATGCCTGGTTGTTAAGCCAATTAAAAGAGTATTAGGAAACGGCCATATGAAGGTATAAAAAACATTAGGGCAAAATTATATTCATTTATGATGTAGTCTAAAATTTCTAAGGGAGATTATTTTTATCTAGTTCATTAGAGGGAACAATTCATCACCAGCTTCTTTAAAAATCAAAATGAGTTCCATGGTTCCTTTGAAGATGTATTAATGTGGTTTTATGTGACTTCAAAAAGGTATTTTAGAACTTTCAGATTCCATATCCATTTCTATCAACTAGGTTTGATTTCTTTGTACAAATATCTAGGCCAAGGCTCTTGGAGAATGCAGAAAGACAAAAGAAAAAAACTAAACATATAATCAATAGAAGAACTCCAACACTGAAATATTTCCAAGTGAGCTACACATATATTTCCTGTTAGGGCCATGATGGTATCCATCCCACCCTGATTGTCTTCTTTTTATTTGGAAGGTGAGAAAAGCCACCCAGTTAGTGCTTAGCATTTAGAAAAAGAAAAAAATGCCATCATAGGTTGTTTTAGATTTCTTAACAGAGATAGAAGAAGCTCAGTCTTGCGTAAGTCACCTTACAAATAATGATGATAGAGTTCTTAGATAGTAGAGTCAGGAATACTAATGGGTGTTGATTCCTGTCAAAGTTCATGTGAAAACTCACAGAGCATCTTGTTAATAGAAACCAACACCGTGTGTGTCTCTTAACTTTGCTCTTGTTTGTTTCCTCAACAGAGCTACAGTGAACCTGTTGATGTTAAGACATCTCAACCTCCTCAGCTGATAAATTCAAAGCCGTCAGTGTTCCATGGGCCCAGCCAGGCCCACTCAGCTCTGTACCTAAGTTCCCACTATCACCAACAACCAGGAATGAATCCCCACCTAACTGCCATGCACCCAAGTCTCCCCAGGAGCATAGCCCCCAAGCCGAATAACCAAATGCCAGTGACTGTCTCTATAGCAAACATGGCCGTGTCCCCCCCTCCTCCCCTCCAGATCAGTCCACCTCTCCACCAGCATCTCAACATGCAGCAGCACCAGCCACTCGCCATGCAGCAGCCCCTTGGGAACCAGCTCCCCATGCAGGTCCAGTCTGCCTTACATTCACCCACCATGCAGCAGGTATGTGCTCATGTGCTAGAGGGGCTGTTCATTCAGTAAAAAGGGGGATAGGTGTTTTCTGTTCTTCTCTGTAAATGGAGAAAGAACTGAAGATATTCGATACATATCTGCCTTCTGAAAAACACAATTTACAGGTGGAGAGTTTGGGCAGCATTATACAATCACAACAGTTGATAGCTGCTTCTTTGCATAATCACTGGTTTCCTTCTCATGGTATCCATTTTGCTTCACCCTTATAATCACCCTAGTTTTCTGCTTGAGTAAAGTGCATTTGTTATTTTGAGATGCCAACTGCTACTAAAGATCTCTTTGGGGATTTAGAACTCTCTCTCTTTTTTAAAAATATTATTCAGATACAAGGAAGTCCTGACTGGTATGACTGCTGAGTCCAATAAAAGCTGCACATGTAATCAGACCCCCTCTTTCTGGTCAGAAATATCAAGAGGTACAACTTTAAAAGCCCTAAGAAATGAAGATTTTAATCATACTTTTATTTTAGAATGGATACCTGGCTTCTTCATGACTTAGAAAACATGAGAGGTTTGGAAACCGCCCCGCCCACTCCCCAATGCAGAAAACATTTGTGTGCAATCTTAGCTTACCTTTTCTTTGAAATTAAGTTTTCCTTTTGGGTTCTGGTTTTATTTTAAAATTTGAAAATGAGGAGCAAAAGGTGTAAACTAAACTGGGCATAAAACATTTAAAAATTCTAAAAACTTGTTTTTTATAAATAGACCAAGTAAAACCTACAAATAATATCAAATTTATCTCACTTTTACAATCTAATTACTCTATTTTTTCCAGATGTATAATTAAATATGCAAACTTAGCCTTCATATAGAATTGATGCCTGGGCTTCTGTGGAATTTGAGTCCATAGTTGGACTAGGGTAGGGTGCAGAAGAACCAGAAAGAGGAATTAAATATACATAGTCTCAAATTCATTTTTATTTTTATAGTTGTAGACAAGATTTCTGAGAGCTGACAATAGCAAATATTAATGTTACCTTACCTTATCCTTACTTTCCGAAAATTTATAATCTAGGTACTACTAGCGTTATCTTCCTTATGCAAATGAGGAAACTCAGGCTTGGCCAAGTTGAGTAACATGCCCATGAGGTCAGAGCTGGAAGTCACACCCCAGTCTACTCAGAAATCAGAGCCTGGATTCTTAAATACTAGACCTGCTGCCTCTCACTCTTAATCATCCTTGTACCAATTTCACAGTAGAAAATCTGTGTCTCATAAGAATTTGGAGGGCCTTTAAATTCTAGTTAGTTTTAGGATTAGCATGATTGTGGAGAGCCTAGCTGATGTCTTCTTAGGTCCCTAAAGCAAGGATATTGATAAAGCTCTGATAGTGTACTTAGCTATGAATTGTTGGCTCCCTAGAGAGGGAGACGTGGGACAGGCTGACTTCTACCATCTTGCCTTGCCCGCAATGGTGTTTGTGATCAGCAAGTGATACAGGGTCAAATTTCCACTCTTTTCAGCAGATATCATTCACAATAAAAGGGAGCCTTTTGGGTGTCCCTGCATTCTATTGAACTAATAGTGTTTTCATGAAGAATTAATGGTTCAAGGGATGTGTCTGTTGACTCCTGCCTAACAGGGCTTGGTGTAGGTTTGGGGCCCATGAATCACTCACAGTGCTGTAATATGAGGCTGTTTCCTCCTGAGGAAAGAACATGGAAGTCGCAGTCAGCTCCACACATTGAGGACCAGAACTCTGCCAGAAAGGACAGCTTCTTCCTAATTTATCCAGCCAGAGATGGTTCCTTTTTTTATTTATACAGACACCTTAGATGAGGTGATCATGACCCTGAATAGTTTCCAACATTTCAGAATTACATAATGTGAAAACTCAAGTGATCTGTCTTTCCATATAGAATCTGGACCAAATAGGAGAAAGATAGAACAGACTACACTGGATAGGTTATTCATCAATCTCGAAGACAGTTCTATTAGCATATCTCAAAAAGTGTTCTTACCAAGATGGTAGGACCTGATTTCAATTTCCATTAATAAAAGAAGATAAAAGGGCAAGGGCCCAAGTGGAGGCTGAAAGACTAAAGTGACTAAAATCACTTCCAGCAATGCCTTGATCATGGTATTTGGTCAATAGAATAATGCTGAATGGACAAATAAGAGAATTTTTTTGAAAAGTAATAAAAGTGTTTAAATATTAGCAGAAACTATAGGGTAGTTTGTAGAATTTCAATTCCCTGGAAATTTTCATTTTATTTTATTATTTTTCCTTGGAAGTTTTAAAAACTTTTTTATTTATTTCAAAAAGATTGCTAGAACCCCCAACACGTGCTAGACATGGTCTTGGCTCTGGGAGTTGAATGATCAATGAGAACGAGTAATAAGGCCTTTGACCCATAGAGGTCACATCAGAGTTGGATGAGTAGCAGGTGGGAATAAGATAAACAGATAAATTATTAAGTCCCCCTGGGAAAAAAGAAAACAGGAGGACAAACTTCAGGGACCCTTAGCTGGAGTAAATCAGTAAGGTCCTATTAAAGGCTGTCACAACCACCTGAAGAATGAGAAGAGGATGCAGCCTTTAATACTGGAAGGTTGGAAGGGTGTGGAGGGAACGTCTAAAGCACAGCAGCAAAGAAAAGAGGCTCCAACCTGGAAGGACCGTGGTGGGAGGAGCAGGGCTGGTCCAGGACTTGGAAAGGCAGCCCGTGGGGAGACTGGTGAATGGAGAGTGATGGGGAATGATCATAGGCAGGTCATTGGAATATGATTCCTCAGGTGAAAGGACTGGCAGCCCTTTCGGATAACCAAGCTGGTAATCCTAAAATCGGGGGACAAGTGTCCACCACCCCTTCATATCACTCAATTTATTACAGCCGCAGCAGTGTGTAGGGGGCCAATGTCCCAGTCATCAAAGGCCATCCTCAGCCTGTGTGGTAGCAGAACCAGGTTGTGGATGAAATTACACCTGTCTGATGCATCATCCAAACCACCTTTATCCTGAAGATGTTTGCTTCCTGGGTATGAGGGCTATGTTTACATATTCAAACAGCAAGGGGAAAAAGAAAGAAAATTAATGGCTACTGTATTTTTAAAATAATGTCTCATATTTCAGTATTACTTTAGCTATTTTATTACTCTCTTGAAAATGAATGCATCCTACAAAAAGGGTTATATGCTCCACCAGGAATAATCCATTTTTTTTCTAGAATAATATTTTATATGCTAAACCCGTAGACCAGCTTTTTGAGTCCAGTTTCTTCCTTTTTTTCTCTGTTCACTATATTGGCGAATGAGGTCAAGAAAAAAAATCATTAATATCTGTCAACTTCCTTTATAACCTTAAGAAAATAATCTTTGTAAGATATCACACAGACAGATTTTCAATTTCCTTGTGTAATAAACAGCTTCTTTAGGATTTGGGTGTAATTTAAAGGTTTAAAAAAATCACATTGAGATTGATGAATAAATCAGTTGTGAAGACAAAAACATTGATGCCTGTTGAAAATACCTCTCCAGACAGGCAGGAAATGAAATTAGTTCCCAGCAAAGTGTGGATATGAGGATCCCTGTTTGGTTGTGCTGCAGGCTTTTATGGGGCTTGCTGTGGTGGCCCAACAAAACTGCTAGGGCTACAGAAATCTAATTAAAGAGCAAATGTCCCTTCTGACATCAAATTAATCTTTATCATGTTTCCTATTTTTATTTCAATCTGGCACCAGAAAATGAAATTTAAAATTCCAGGCATGCTACAAAACAGTTGGTGATTTTTCTCTTGAGCATTAAAATGCAAAATATTCAGTCTTGTTTAATTAGACTGCTAAGCCAACATTTTTCAAAAATTTATATCACCGTTTCATATTTACATCAATAATAAAAATGTACTTAGCTCTAGGTTTGACCTCAGCCTCTCTATATATAACATTCAGGAGAATGTTTCATTTTCTAAACTGAAAGCAAGTAAAATGATGTTACTTCAGGTTTTGCTTGTGTTTTTCTTGGTCCTTTGTTGCTTTAATTTTAGTGATCTTAAATTTAGGCATTGAAGTTAGATGAATTTTAAATCTTTGAACTTTGTAGGTAGCACATAATTTTGGTTTTAGAAACTGAAGTTACCCATTTAATCTTAGATGAATAACTGAAAAACTAATGTTCTCCTGATGTTCACTGCCCAACCCTGAGAAACTATTTTCACTGGACGCAGGTGGGGGCCGGGGGGACGGGCAATGGTGGTTTCTGTCGTTGATCATGTAGGGTGGGGTGGAAGTGGTTTAGTTTGTTTTTGTTTACTTTTTGCTTTTATATATGTTTCCATACTTTTAACTAACTCAAGATATTTTTTGACTCCTGTACTTTTGAGACTTGTTTACTTTTAGGTTACATTTTGTCAATTGTGCAAAAATCTAGTATGGAGAATTTTACATTAAAAAGACAGGAAAACCCTGAGATTTGTATATTTATACTCCCTGTGCCTTTACAACCGTGACTATAAGTGGTCCGCGTTAAACTGTATTTATCAGAACACATGATTTAGTGAGCCACGAATATGGGCGAGTCCCTGACACTCTCCAGTAGGCGAGTCCCTGTGGCCGGCCCTTATGACAGGGGCCAGAATGGAAGTCAACAGGAAGCACCTCACTGTAGGAGTTTGTTCCTGATGGTTTGCCCAGCGTCACACTAGATACTTGGGAAAAAAAGTCAAGAAAGCTGGACAATAAGCTCCATAAAAGCAATACTATATGACCATAATGAAAGGAATGCACTTTGTAGAAGCCAGTGGGACTCTGCATAACAGGCAGAGGACGGTCCGGTCTGGAGAACGAGATGAAATCAACCCGAAAAGGAGTAGAGAACCAAACATCAGTTCAACCTGTTACTGTTCACCTTGCTATTTTGGAAAACATTTATAGCTTGAGCTGCAAGTGGTGTCTACAGAAACAAGCTTATTTCCCATAAGCCAATTGTTAATTTAGGAAACACTGTATTCCTTTTAGTCTGTGTAAGGTCAAATAACCAGGCTGGCTGAGTTCTCTACTTTTCGATGATCTGTTTCCAGTTATTCAACATTTTGTCATTCATCCGCAGCTTTGCTGGGAGTTAGTGTGGACGTTGGCTTGAAGTCTTCATCATTTGAATGAAAAATAAATTAGTATCTTAAAGCCAATATTGAGAATTGAGGAAATTTGATAATAGGTGTCTTTGAGTGAAAGGGGACATTGAATGTCCCAAGAGGAACATTCATACATGACTAAGGAAATATCCTTAGTTAAAAATCAATCCTCTGATCATTCTGCTGAGTTTTAAAAAAAGAAAGAAAGGTAAAAACTTGATAATATTATGCTTTTAAAAGCTCCCCGCAAGTAAATGGAGAACGGTTCATTTTTAAATAAGTTGACTTTTTCAGTGGTTAAAAGCCATGTATGACACTGGCTGCAGAAAGAGACAACCACAAGATTAATTAAGTTGCTTTTTTGGTCATTTCCAGCAAAGCTTGCTTATGCTGCTTTTGAATTCACCAGATATGCTAAAAATAAAATCATCGTGTATAAAGCTTTTTGTTTACCAGATATAAATATATACTTCAGAGATTCTGCTCTTGAATTTGTAATGGCTTTGCGAGGATTAAAGGTCAACATTTCACCATATCAATGTACTAAAAGAATCTTCCTGAAGTCTTGATGATTTAACTGGCAATAATTATTTGCCAGTTAATAGGCTTTTCCATTAAAAATTATTTGTTCTGTCTTACACTTTTCCTTCTCAGTGTTTTCCAGTGGCAGGTTGTTCTGAATCTTAACTGTGAGAAAGCTTTGGTTGAAATTTTTTAGCTGAGAAAAAAGTACAAATAAAAGAAGAAGCAGATGGTCCCTTTGTGACTGAATGAAGAAAAAGGGTTTTGAGAACAATATGTGAATAGGTGTAGCCTAATAAAACACTCAGCCACCTGCTGCCCGAATCCTTCAAAAAAAAGATTCTGTTGCATATTCTGGGGAATTAACTATTAATCTACCCTTACATTTGATAGAAAACATAAACTTTGAAGAGTTTAGCTCCTTTCCCTTTGTTTGGAATGAATCGGCTTTTCTATACTTTAAACTGGTTTTTTTTTTTAGTTCAATTTATCTGCTCAAGAGTATAATTAAAGGTTTTCTAACAAATGGTTAAATGAAGGAAAGGTAAGAAGAATGGGGTTGTAAGCACTTCTTTTCTACTTTTGTTTTAAGTTTTCTTTTCTACATTTGCTTTAAGTTTTCATAAGCTTGCCCTTCCAGAGCCACAAGCAAGAAAGCAGTAATGTGTTTGCAAACAATGGGTAAATATTTAGGTGCATTTCTTCTTTAAGAGCCACTTTGATCCTTATTTGTGGACTGCTTTCCCTTTCAGGGATTTACTCTCCCACCCGACTATCAGACTATAATCAATCCTACATCTACAGCTGCACAAGTGGTCACCCAGGCGATGGAGTACGTGCGTTCTGGGTGCAGAAATCCTCCCGCCCAGCCCGTGGACTGGAATAACGACTACTGCAGTAGTGGGTAAGCGGCCGACCATCGCCACCTGGTGGTAGACAGTACTCATAGCATGCCTACCGTGCCCTGCTCCCTGAGTCCTTGGAAATGTCCGTCTTTTCTCCCTGCTTTCTGAAAAGATGGTCTGGAATGGTTCCACGCGCGCGTGAAAGTAGAAGACACTGCTCCAGAACTGTTTGAGCGGTCTTCTAGCCATTCCAAGAATAAACGCCTTTAGATCCTTCTTTGCTTTAGATGTAGGTTAACTAATAGCGCATTTTCCCAGGGCACAACTTCATCATCCTTCAAACTGTAACAAACAGACTTCCATCCCCCTGCGGTCACCTGTGGCACGTGTCTCGTGTTTAACAAGGCATTCTTTTTTTCTCTTCATCCAGGGGCATGCAGAGAGACAAAGCACTCTACCTTACCTGAAATCTGAACACCTCTCCTTTCCACTGAGGAATTCAGGGAAGTCTTTCACTATGGATTGCTTTGTACAGTCAAGGCAGTTCTCCATTTTATTAGAAAATACGAGTTGCTAAGCACTTAGGACCATTTGAGCTTGTGGGTCAGCCACTCTGGAGGAAATAGTCATGCTTCTTTATTATTTTTTAATCCTTTATGGACATTGTTTTTCTTCTTTCCTGAAGGAAATTTGGACCATTCAGATTTTATGTTGGTTTTTTGCTGTGAAGTGCTGCGCTATAGTAACTGCCTTAGCAACTGTAGATGTCTCGGATAAAAGTCCTGGATTTTCCATTGGTTTTCATAATGGGTGTTTATATGAAACTACTAAAGACTTTTTAAATGGCTTGATGTAGCAGTCATAGCAAGTTTGTAAATAGCATCTATGTCACACTCTCCTAGAGTATAAAATGTGAATGTTTTTGTAGCTAAATTGTAATTTGAAACTGGCTCATTCCAGTTTATTGATTTCACAACAGGGGTTAAATTGGCAAACATTCATATTTTTACTTCATTTTTAAAACAACTAATAGTTCTATATTTTCAAAATGTTTGAAAAAAAAGTATTCCCAAATGATTTTAATTTAAAAACAAATTGGCTTTGTCTCATTGATCAGACAAAAAAGAAACTAGTGTTAAGGGAAGCGCAAACACATTTATTTTGTACTGCAGAAAAATTGCTTTTTTGTATCACTTTTTGTGTAATGGTTAGTAATGTCATTTAAGTCCTTTTATGTATAAAACTGCCAAATGCTTACCTGGTATTTTATTAGATGCAGGAACAGATTGGAAAAAGCTAAATTATAACCTTTACATATGGCTCTGTATTATTGTTTCTTCATACTGTGTCTGTATTTAATCTTTTTTATGGAAACTGTTGCGCCTATTTATGAAATAATAAATATAGGTGTTTGTAAGTAAATTTGTTAGTATTTGAAAGAGGTTTCTTTGATGTTTTAACTTTTGCTGGCAAAAAAAAAATTCACGCTTGGTGTGAATACTTTATTATTTAGTTTTTACAGTGACATGAATAAAGCCAAACCTACTTTTCATTTAGCAGCAAATTAAAGTAACTAATCCTTATTTTTACATTTTGTTGGTTGATGCAAATGAAAAACTATGCTATTTAAGAACTTCCTTCATACAGTATAACAGAGAAATTGCCCTAAAAGTCACACAAACTCCAAGACTAAACAGACGGGTTCTTGATCTAAAAGAGTGGCTTCTTGGTTCTCAGCTGGTGTTAGTCAATTCTGTAAACTCCCCTCCTCCAAAAAAAAATAATAATTAAAGCTGAATCAACCAAAATTCCTCAAGCTGCAGGCTTTTCACAAAACACAGAAAACATTTAGGAATTGAATCAAGGTTGGAGGAAGGGAAGGGAAAGCATACTGCCAAGAGTATATCTAAAGATAAAAGGTGAGTAACCAGACAGCAAAGAAAGGGAATGCATCCAAATTTGAAAGCTGTTAATAGAAATTGAAATTCTTGCTGTCTTTTGTGCCTCTACAAGCTACTTCTCTTTGCAGAATTCCTGGGTCTTCCAAGGGAATTCTGAGGGTACTAAAGATTTGCTAGGGAACCAAAAGCATTGCAAATTTGGCTGAAGGTTTGCATAGCATTTCTATCAAAAAGAGCTAGTGAATTACTCCCTTACCGAGGATTGTATTTTAAAAAGTTAGTCTGGTTGGAAATCAAGAGAATGGTTGATGTCTCTTTCATGAAATGTGTGAAATAAACTTAACAATTTAACTAAATACAAATATATTCATTGTGTAATCCAGTCAGATTAAAAAGACAAAAGGTATGCTTGCTTTGGAATGATTTTAGGCATTGTACAACCTTGAATCACTTGAGCATGTAATAACTAATAAATAATGCAGATCCAATGTGATTATTAAAATGACTGTAGCTGAGAGCTCTAATTTTCCTGTCTTGAAACTGTGTAAGAACTCTTGTGATTAAGTTCACAGTTTATTGTTTGTCTGTTTAGTATTTCAGAAATATACCAGCACTACTAATTACCTAATGTCTTTTATTTATTATATTATGATCAAGTAGAATTTTCACTTGCATTAAGTAAACTGAGAAGGTAATTACTGGGATGGAAACAGCAAGCTCTGACTTTGACAGGCGGTTTGTACAGGAAAGTACAATGTTGTTTACAGCTTTTCTAGAACAGGTGTGCAACCAGGGTAGAGAGAGTGTTCAAACTCGATACCAAAAACAGTACAAAACAAATGTAAATAAAAGAGAACTCATCACGAATAAAAATTCTTGCCATGTGTGACCGTATTCTATTTGGACATCCATCAGTCTCTAAAGGACAGACCCAGTCAGATGAGAAATCCCCAATAAACTTGGTGGCAGAAGTGAGCAGTCACAGTGGGATTAATGGGCTCCACGCCTCAGATGTTCTTTCCTGAAATGCTGAGAATACCTTCTCATCAACCTGATCTCTAGTACAGTCAAGTGTTGCCTGAGAGACCCTCCATCTGTGAGAAGGAAGCCAGCTTCCAGACCGGGCACAGTAGCTTGTAGCCGCAGGCTCAAAGGAAAAGTGATTCCTTCACTTCCAATAAGGTCACTCTGGGAAATTCAGCCATGATATTGAACATAAGTGTCTTTACCAACTCACCAAAGTCAAAACTATAACAGATCTGAAAAGAAGAAAGAACAGTTTGTATGATAGTGGGCAGGAGAGGTGGAGCTGTGTGTCCCATACAAAATGGGTAATCCCCAACCCAGTGCCCGCTTAAATGTGAATGACTCTCCAGTGGAAAATGAGTCAAACAGTGACTTCCAGTTAGGCAGCTTAGTGAACCCAGCTACAGATAAAAGTTTGTCTCTGTGACTATTTCACCTTGTTGCCTTGCAGGGCTGTCCAACCTTCCGGTGTCTCTGGGCCACACTGGAAGACGAAGAGTTGTCTTGGGCCACACATTAAATACATTGCAACATGTAATCATAAAAAAAAAAATCTCATCATGTTTTAAGTAAATTTACGGTTGTGTGTCGGGCCACATTCACAGCCGCAGGTGGCCCATGGGCCGCAGGTTGGACACCCTCGGCAGAAAGAGCCCTGCTGAGTGGGACACAAGCCATCCATTGAAAGCCATAATCACGAAGAAAAGTGTGTCCCAACTGGGATTAATTACTGAGAAATATTTTTAATTTATGAATTTAAAATTCAAAATAAGCATATCAGCGTCAATTTTTTTTCCATGGACCTCTTGCCTTTTGCAAAATAGTTGTTCCACTCATTTGAAAGGTAATTAGGTTGAGCCATATGAAATTGCCAATATTTGACTCTTGTACATAAAAATGACTAAATCCTAGGAGAAAATAGTGAATGAAGCAACGTTATGTTTGCCGACAAGGTGCCCCACTTCAAATCAGTCCCAGACATCTACATTAAATCAAACAAGGAATATTTTAAATTACTAGATTTTAGTAAATCCCAATAAACATCCATATTTCTTTGTTATGGTCAAAAAAATTTATGTTGAAATTTGTAAAAATAGGTCATCTGCTAGAACATGAAAGAATTTGTTACACACAGATGTTCTGTTAATGTTCATGGCTGAAAGGGGATTTGATCTGCATTGTCTTATTCCATTCATAATTCTCACTTTAAGGTAATGTTAGAAACAGAGGAATTTGTCTCTTTGTTGTTGACTGAACATTGAAATCATGGCAAGGCAGGGTACCAAATTCACATCACAAGTTTTAACCCCAAGTACTTAACAATACTGAGTCACCTAATGGGTGAATTCATGTAAGTCACCCCACAGTGTAAACTCTTTGTTTCCCTAAAATAGAATCATTTATTGACCTCCAAAGCAACTTGAAATGCCAGAGCACACAGTAGGTGCACAATAAATGCAATGATATGTAGAAAGATCATGGAACATCATAAATTATCCTCAACAGGAATGGTGTGCTGTTTCTTTGATGATTTAAAAACTCATTGGAAAAGGGACTCATTATTGCAGACACACATTACAAAATAAAGAAGAATGGAAATTTTTCATTAAGAAATCTAAGGTTACAAAAAGAGTTTTAAAATGAGTTGTGCCCTATTTTTTCAGGCTACATAATTGAATAAGGGTTTCAAGTTACAAAAGTAGAAGATATAATACATGATGCTAGTCACACCAAGAAAGTAAGAAGCAAAAGAGAAAAAAAAGGTGCTAGACAAGTAGGAGTACTGAGCTCAGGAGAGAAATTTCTGGAGACGAGTTTATGGAATGCTAAATTAAACATTGATGGGCAGGATGCTGATTTTTTTTTCTAATTATCAAATGTTAGTGTGACTTGGTGAAATGAAGCAATAAAACATCACATTTCTGGACTTTGTGTAAATTACACCAGGATAAGAAGACATAGTCCTACTTTGTAAGATTCACAAAGATTTCCCTGGGTTTATTTCAAACCAGGTCCCTGCACAGAAGGGCAAAGTTGCCGAATCCTTAGATAAGACTACAGCTAGTGGGAGGCAGGGCTAACTTCTGAACCAACATACACACACTTCGCAATCCACGTGTATACAGACATCATAGATTTTTCCTTCTCACTTCTCACTTGGTCGACATCTTGTTATTTGTATCCAGAACCAGAGTACACTGTAGTAAGCAAGAAGTGAAGGTGAAATTCTGGTTCCAGAGCAGCAGGCAACTGAGGACAATGATGTGCCACATTTCAGTGCTGCTCAGAGAGCTGCCGTACCAAAGAACCCACCGCTGTCATCATTTCCCATTTTACTAGCAGCTTGTGAGCAAAGATGTTTGAAAGTGAAATTTCATCCACACTGACATGAGACCAGAGGGAAAAAAAATAACAACTGGAAAAATAAAATGGAAAGACTTACAATTCTACAGGAAAAAAAAAACCCAAACATTCTAAAGAAAGACTATGAACCGAACTATAGCATTTTTAAGGCCACAGCATCCCTGTTTGACAATTGTGTGCTTACAATAAGCCTAAACATAATTGCTCTGATGGGCTGTCAGGGAAAAGATTAATTTGGCAAAGATTAGTATTGACTTGCTGTTTATTAAGGCTTTTAAACAGCTGTATCTGGCAGCATTCCTGTAAGTGCCTGTCATATCTGAAAATCAGCCTTACACCCTGGTGCTCGCCAGCTGTTACTAAACAATCTTCTACCACTTTGAATGTCTTTCTCCAGGCCAAACAGCAAGAGCAGACTATTGCCAAATGAGCCTTCTTCTGCTCCTGTCACTTTTTTTTTTGAGATGGGGGTGGGGAGCTTCTGAATGCTGAAATGTCAGCTCGTGGCCGATGGCTTAGCTGATAAGAGGTGCCGGAAGTCAGTGGGTGGTTTGGGTGCTAGATGAATACATCCCCCACATAGAGAGTGGTAGCGCTGTTAGTCACTTCACACAGACACAAAACCACAGCTTGCAACTGTTGTAAGGCAGAAGGTTTTAAAGACAGTTAGAGAGCGGCGATCAAAGGTTTAGAGCCAGCAGATCTCCAAAATAAATGTTTTGTTCCCTCAGCCTGGCACATCCCCTACCAGCCATGGCGCTGAGAAAAGACCCCACAGTGGGATATTGAGGAAAAGTTCCGTCATGGCCATTACTCTTGATTGTGTGAACTGAGGTTTCTCCCTAGACTCTGAAAAAGGACCAGCCACTTTTGGTCAAATGTGCACCTCGAATTTTGATTCAGGAGAAACCTGTAGAATAAGGCAGGTTTGGATGTTTTGAAGTCTGAGAGAAAGGGTGGATTGAGTTTTGTACTGGAATGAGAGCCAGTAGTTTCAAACCTAAGTACAGCCATAAAGGCAATGGAAAGAATAACATTCCAGTGCAGTTAAACATTAAGCCATAAAGGGCCCCGTGTTATGGTGAAAGTCACAGGAATCTTTCCAATATGACTGCTTTTTCGAGGATTACTCTCAACCTTTTCCAGTTGCATTGGGCTGGAATAAGCTCTCAGAGCAGATATAAAAGGACATTGTCATCTCTTAACCCTTTCGCCACCCTTTCCATGACCCTGGGATAAGGGTGGGGAGGGGGAGGAAATTAGCCTGGGAGCTAAGCTTTCGGGATGGACATTTGAGG